TCAGCTGGTTTTCCTTAGATAGAAAACTTTGAATCAATCTGACTGGATGATCTGGTGAACTGTAACGTGCGTTGAGATAACGTGTTGTGAATTTGACGCTGAAACCACCACAGAACAACATCCAGCATCAAACTCTGCTCACCTCCACCTTTGGTCTTCTTGCAGCTCCTGCACAAAGCTGCTGTTGCACCATTTCTCTCCCAGCATGCCCTGCTGCACCCCATGAAGCACTAAGAGCGTTTATGTTCTCTTACAGGGGCTGAGCAGAGGAAACAGAGCTAACCACGCCGAGGCCGCAGGCTGACGTGAAACAACAAGCGGAGTGGAGAAAAGCTGATGGTGAAGAGGCGACAGACGGAGACAGAAACATAAAGGTTCTCCTCCTAAACCCAGAGGGACGGCGTCCAGCGGGAAGATGGAGTTCAGAGCTGTCAGAGAGAAGAAGAAGCCGCAGGCTTCATCAGCAGGTGCTCAGAGGTCATGTGACCATGCAGCAGGTGTCTGACGTCCTGTTTTCGCCGGCTGACACGATATATTTGTGGCTGGTAGTAAATAAGATCAGTGTGTACACGCTGGCCTCATTTCAGAAGACAAACCAGATCACTTGAGCAGACAGGAAGTGGTTTTAGGGTTAGACTCGGAGCCCGGTTCCTGCGCTCACAGACTCAGCATGGTTCTGCTCGCAGATGGTTGTAGAAGATAAAGTTTTCTTTAAATACAACAGTGTGGTCTCAGTTATTTTATCACATCAGGGACCGCAGGAGGATTTTTGCTATTCTTGGTGTGAATTCACATCTATCTGAAAGTCTTTTTATGTCTGAGGCACAACAAACTAAATCTAATCAGAATAAACTTTAAGAAGTTGAACCTTCTGGGCTCACTTTCTACCATCACAGTTCTGCCTCTTTGGGTGTTAGATGGTTGGTTCTGGAACATTTTAGAGGAGGTCATGGTGCACCTGAGGAATCAAAAACAGCCACACATCATCACCCTTCCACCACCGTGCTCTACTGCTGTTTTATGCTGATCTGCTGTTTTGCTCCAAACATGTTTCTGTCCATCATGGTTGATCTTCTTTACTTCGTCTGGAGGACTTTGTTGCAGAAGTCTCGTTCTTCATACCTGTTTTTTTTTAGAGGAAACTTTTAACCTTTTCAAACCACCTGACTGGTTCAGGGTCATGACCTTTAACCTGTCAAAGAAGGATCTGGTCTGCAAAGAATGATCAATGGATCATTATCTATACCTAAAATCAATACATTTGCAGTGATTTCATGAATTTACACTGGAAAAACAATCTAGAAGTAAGTTAAAATTTCCTAAATTAGGTGTATTTACCCTTAATTTGATTTGGTAAGTTGGATAGTTTGCCGATAGGATGAGTATTTCTACTCTTAAAATAAGATTATTAGATAATATGCACTTGAAATAAGACAATGCAATTGTGTTTTCTTATTTAAATTATTTTAAGAAAAAATTATTTATCTAGATTTGGATTCTTTCCAGTGTAGCGTTAATCAATAAATAAAAAAAAATTATTTTCGTCCCGATCACCGATTCCGGAAGCCACTGGGATCGTCTTCATCTCCAGTTCTGGATCTCCATCCCATAATGGTTTCTATCACATATGCTGCGCTCCCAGACTGCCCGCCGTGGGACTCGTTTAGGTTCTGCACTGCAAAAACAATCTAGAAATAAGTAAAAAATTCTTAAATTAAGTGTATTTACCTTTAATTTCAGTAGGTAAGTGAGGTAGTTTGCCAATTGAATGAGTAATTTTACTCTTAAAATAAGATAATTAGATAATATGCACTTGAAATAAGACAATGCAATTGTGTTTTCTTATTTATGTGTACCGTAAATTGTCTTGTTTCATTGGCAAAATGCCTCTTTTACCTCCTCAATTCAAGAACAAATGCACTTATTTTAAGAAAAAATGACTTATCTAGATTTAGATTTTTTGCAGTGTGAATCCAAATCAGTATTTATGACAGAATAATAAAGAGATTTGAACCGACAACCATCTACTCTTGGTTTTCTCTGGGTCTTCTGATCCGATCAGGTAAGGTGGGACCGATTCCCAAGGAATAATCAATGGATCGTTATTTATACCAAAAACTAATACGTTTGCTGTGATTTAATGATTTTTGCTTTAATCAGTAAAAAACAAAAAATAATTTTCATTGCGATCACTGAGTCTGGGAGCGGCCATTTTTGTCCAAATATAGTAGCCCCTCCCTCCTGCCATCTTTCAGCAGTGATGTCACGGTGTGGTAAGCCTGGCGCCATTCTCCACCTTTCTGATTCCTGATCCTCCACGGACGGGTTGGTCGTTGGATTGCCAGCTTGAAGAGTTGCCTCTCGGCAGGAAGTCTTCCTGCAAACTGGATCTTTCGGACCTTCTCTCCATGAAGGAATCAACAGAGCCTCAAACCGAGCTGGGGAACAGGAAGCTTGGATCCTTCTTCCTTGAAGAGGACGTTGAGTTTACTCTCTGAGCAAGGGAATCATCTCCATTACGACCCGTCCAAGTACCGCTCGAAATCTGAGTGGCAGTCAGTTTCTCCGTTCA